TTAAAGCTGATACTGTGGCGACGGGATTTACGTACCAAGGTAACGATACACTAGTGGGTGCTACCATTTAATCTTTTATACTGAATATTTGAACTAAAACTGCTCCACACATTTCTTTGTGTGCGCACATTCAATTCCCATTTCAAACTATCATTATGCAGCAGTGCATTTAACTTGGTAGACAACTATACTGACGATCCATTTATTCTTTGGCTTTTTAACTTTTCACTCCAAACAGCCTACAGGAGTTGCTAAGCAGCTGCATTTTTTCTCGTGATAAATCACTGTTTACTGTGGTCCGCACGACATATTTAACGCTTTTCTTGCACCATTAAATGGCTGTCGTCACCCAGCCGGATTGTATTTTTACTATGACTCTGATGATGAAGCCTCTCTGTGAGTTTGATGATCATGAACGAACGCGGCAGTGGATCTGTTTCACAAATGCTGCATTAAATTCGTAAGGTGGCCAGCTGTTTGCTGTGTTGCTGACGAACTGTAGATGCCTCGATGCTGAATGTTTGTTCAGGGCATTTCAGCAATGCTTAAGATTAAATTTTCACTACTTTTTGGAACTTGACCCAGTAGATATGAAGTATTGCAGCACCGATGCTAACTTCTTATATCCTGCTATCATCAAGAGTGAGGAAAATGGGACTACACTGCCAAGGTTGATATAGTCTGTAGAAAATCGAGCCGGGTCAATGTCATTGCACTCCAAGACATTGAAGATGACATAGCGGACAAGGGTATTCATAGGATCCTGCAACTAGTACAAGGGAACAATGCTTCACATATCTCCGACTGTCCCTTTTGTATACTATGAGTAACATGTGTCCAGGGCAGAATCAATGCCATAAAATATCCTTTAAGTTTTCCAACATAGATTTGGGCGGATGATGTTTAGCACGTGGTAGAATGTGTACATGTGAGTAATGAAATTCACTGAGGAAATTATCTTATACCGGCTGTTAATGATGGACTGTGGTGAAATCTTTTGCTACTCTAATCGTTACTGTGAAATGCACAAATTTGTATTTAAAAGCTTACCTGGTTTTTAAGACTGTCCCTCTCAGATTCCAATTCATGTTTTGCAACCAACAGATCCGAAGTATTTTTACAAGCATTTTCAGCGTCTCTTTCCGCCTTCTCCCTAAACGGAGAATGAGATTTCTGTTCATAATATGCAGATTATTTTTATTTAAATTTATAATTATAATAATTTATAATTATAATAATTTATTATTATAAATTATTATTATTATAATTTATTTATAAATTTATTTTGAAGTAAGGGGATTTATATATTTTAGAGGTAAATATACTTTTGTCCTTTTAGTTCCATACGAAGTTCATCGACTTCTTTTGATAGCAGGGAACACCTTGCGTCCATTTCCATTTTTTCCTTCTGTGAAAACGTAGATCGTTCTATCTCCTCCGAGGATAGACAACCCAAACGTCGGACCAGATCATCCTTTATAGCGCGCAAATTTGACACCTAAACAGATTCAGATGGGAGCACAGAGACTAGTACTATTGTTATTTTAAGGATGGAAATTATGGATGAGATTAAGTTCCCAATAACACTAACGGCTTTGATTTATTGGACAATGGTTTGCTAAAGTCCACTAAGCAACTGGGTGTTTAAATGCAAAAGAGTAAAACATTTCGGCTATGGTCTGCAACTGATGCAGTTTGGTCAGAAAAAAGGAATCAGTTCACGCGAAACCTAGTCCGTTGTGTAAACTCCTAGCGATAAAACACACCAAAACTGTAGCTGAAATGGGTACAACAGGAAGTACCCGCGCTGCAATTTGTGCTTTACTGGTTGAACAAAGTTTAGATAACCGCTGGCTGTGTCAAGCTCACGTCCGATCTGCGTACTCGGCACTTTACTTTTCTGTTATCATCTTCCGATTGTGATATGCGACGCATTCGCCTTTTTTTTGTCTTCCAAGACTGAAAGCCACTTGACCTGAGCAGGATATCATGATAGTCACTATGCCTATGGCGCGAGTTACCGGTGCTTCAACACCTGGATATTTAAGCTGGAATCTTCAGCATTCATAAAAATCGGCATCTCTTTATCGATCCAGACT